CTAGTCCCATTGGCTTTTGACTCGGTGAGTGAATGTAGCTAGAAATTCAAATCATCGATTAATTGTCTAGCTCGAATTGTTAGCTCCCGCATATGCCGATCGATAGCCTATTGTGGACGTGGCTATGGTTCGCAAGCTACTGCTTGCTAAAGCTGTTCGTTAGGCCGCCCTAATATCTGGTAGATTCTAGATTGATAGCTGAGGAAATCATGCTTTGACAGTCTGCTTACTGTCTCCGAATTGGTATATTTCATACGTTGCAGTAGGCTGGGTGGCTAATTTAGCCTTGGCCGTACTGGACCATTGCTGGCGTGTTTTCGAATTCAACCGAGGTCACTGAGTTTTTCACAATTGGGTCAAATGATTTTTCTAATCTGTCAAAGCTCCTCCTACTTAACCCCATCTGATCCACTGTTGAGGACGTCCTCAGCAAGCAGAACTGACTGCTTTTCTGGACCAGAGCTTCACAGTGATGCGTTCGAAGCCAACTTCTGAAGAACAATGAGTAAATGATGATTTGTGGTCACCACTATCGCCGAAATAACAAAGATCCTTGGAATGATGTTTTCTACCTATCCTTTTTCTCCATCTTGTCTGCCCTTGTTGGCCTGCTTCATAAATAGGGGAAGTTTTTTTAAGTTAGACTTTGGGAGACGAACTCACCGTAAGGGGGCGTCTGCTCTGTTATCTAATAGCCCTACTGTTACCTTGGTCGGAGCTTGCTTTTCATGCAACAGCAAGCACCCATTTACTGCAAGATAGCCGTCAAGTTCAGCAACCCTTTTTTTAGTTGTCTGTATCGGTTTCATTTTTTCCATCTTCAGACGACACCTTCACTCGGATTCCGCCCAACCAGTATATTTTCAAGGGCGCTGAATTGCCTTTTGACTACGAGATGGCTGAAGACTGCTTGCAGCACGAGGGCGATCTGTTCGGCGATCCCTCCTCTTCATCCTCCCCCGCCTCTTCCTCTGCCTCTCTCTCGCCAGCCTCCGCCTTCTCCGAGTTCGCCAACACCAGCGAGGCCTCGCGGAACATCGCCACGGAGGAGGTGAATGTCAAAGGCGAC